TGGAGCGTGTCCAGAGGAGGGCGACCAAAATGGTGAAGGGTCTGGAAATGACCAAGCCCTATGAAGAGACACTGTCTGACTCAATCATATCAATAAGACTCCAGGGAAAACCCATGAATATAGCCATAATCCAAGTTTATGCTCCACCTGCAGAGGCAGAAGAAGAAATGGAAAGATTCTGTGTTAAGAGTCCAGGGTCCAAAACACACTGCAGAAATAATCCAGTTTGAGACCGCTTTAACTGCCCTGGCTCAGTGCTACAGAATCCTGGGAATTATAGTTTATTGTGGCACCAGAGCTCTCTGACAAAACGTCTCACAAAACTACAGTTCCCAGAACTTCCTAGCATTGAGCCAGGGCAGTTAAAGCGGTCTCAAACTGGATTGTTTTTGCAGTGTGTTTTTGACCCAGGATGAAATTGATCACACACCAAAACAGGACTTCTTGTTAATCATAGGCATTTGGAATGGAAAAGTAGGAAACGGAGCAGAATCGAAGATGGTGGGAGAAATTTGGCCTATTGGAAATGGTAGTTTGTTTTTGGAAAGCAACCACTGTGCTAATTCCTGGCATATACTGTACATTCCTCATAGAAAAAAGAGGCTATAAAATGACTCGCTATGCAGAACGCTAAGAGCAAAGAGATGGTTGTATAAGAAGACTGAAGGTACAGGATTTGGGAGCATCACATGCTGGAATGTAGTTCTACATTTTGCTTATGCTGCCTGGGTTTGACTAGGAATGGACTTGTGTACAAAAGAGGTCCTCCAGAGTAACAACATTTCCCATTTGTCCAGTTGTGATAATGGCAATCTAAAGGTTGTTCCCTTTCATAGTTTTTGGCTGGGGAATATACAACTATTTGCCGCCTGTAACTTAAGCAGATTTCTAACACATGTTCATACAAAGGCAGTTGCACGATTAAAAAACGGTAGCAGAACCATGGTGCGCTTTGTCAAAATGAGCATTTGCTGATCGAAGCATTTTCAAAAAACAGGCCTGGAGGATTGTGAAGGCATCAAAAGAATTTGGGGGAAAAAGATGTTGCGACTCATTATGTCTGGTTGTTTCTAAGTAGGATTTGTAACCGGATTGTGCTGCAATTTCAGGCCTTAAGGGATTTGGGAGAAGCTCATGAACAGAGAAAGCCAAGCCAAAAAACAGCAGGGGAAGCAAGAAATACCAGTATATCAATTTTGTTTTAAAGTGTGTGTGTGTGTGTGTGTCTTTACTTGAGAACCATTTTTCTCTAGTTTTAAGACATTTAAAGGTAGCAAAAATGATTTTAAAAATTGCACTGTTTGTTTCAATGGCATTCCCCAAATTTGTCTTTGGGTACACTTGATCTCTTTGGGTGCCAAAATGTCAAGATGACGAAACTGAGGCTATTGTGCTTTGGACATGACATGACTAACTGGGAAAGATGATTTATTGTTGTTGTTGTTATGTGCCTTCAAGAAGTTTCTGACTTAAAGTGATCTTAAGTGACAAGATTTGCTTGGCAAGATTTATTCAGGGGAGGTTGGCCCAGGTCTTCCTGTGGCACAAGGTCTGGAAACCATGAATCCCTCTAAGGAGAGATGTAGGGAGCTGGGTATGTTTAGCCTGGAGAAGAGACGGCTAAGAGGGGATATGATAGTCATGTTAAAATGGTGTCATATTGAGGATGGAGCAAACTTGTTTTCTACTGCTCCAGAGAATAGGAAATGGAGCAATGGATGCAAGCTACAGGAAAAGAAATTCCAGCTCAACATTAGGAAGAACTTCCTGACTGTTTGACAGTGGAAAATGCTGCTTTGGAGGGTGACAAAGTCTCCGTCTTTGGAGGTTTTTAAACAGAGGCTGGATGGCCACCTGTCACAGAGAGTGCTTTGGTTGTGAGTTCCTGCATGGCAGAATGGGGTTGGACTGGATAGCCCTTGGGGTCTCTTCCAACTCTAGGATTCTATGACAAAGAGAGTGGGACTTGTCCAAACTTACCCAGTGCCTTTCTGGGACTAAGCAGGGATTCAAAGCCTCCCAATCTCCCTCAAGGAGCTTGTATTGTTGTTTGGCATAGCTACTAGGCTTTCTGTTACGTGTATCTTTGTCATTCATTCTTCCTGTAAAAAACGTTAGTGTTACCAACATATAAAGAGAAGACGAGTCAACTTTCATTTTGGTCATTTTATTAAAAATTCCAAAAGGTCAGGTTTAAAAAAAAAAATCCCACATAACCCCAAATGCTTACTCAATGCTAATCAATCGTACAACTCACAGTTAAGGTGCTAAAACCACAAAACTGAATGGGATACTGGCACACTGTAAACAAGGGATCAAATCTATAAGGAGCTTAGTGCAAGTTGAACCAGTCGGCTGTGGGGAGCAGGCTCCATGCTGGGAATCCAAGTATATCTGCTATATGTAGACCTTATGCATTAAAAGGGTTATTTTCCCTGTTTCAACCTGAGATAGCAAAACCTCAAGCGTACAGGACAGATTAAGAACAATTTCCCAACCTAGGAACAGTGATCTTGTAGCACCTTTGAGACTCACTGAGCAAAATAAGTTGTAGCATATGCTTTTGCAGAGTTTCTCAGATCCATGCATTGGAGGAAGCAGACCAAGTTTGCAAAAGCTTCTACTACAACCTCTTTTGCTCTGTTAGCCTCAAAGAGGCGACAAGATCCCTTTGCATACTATTATTCCAGACTAACATGACTATGTCTCTGTTTTGGAACAGTTTTCCTAAAAAGAACAGAAAATGCAGAGAACCTCATTAGTATAAAAATGAGAGAGAGAGACCACATTTGTCAGAAATATATATTAATCTGCTAGTCCATTTGGGTTCTATACTGTCTAGAAAGCGGTCCATACCTGCCCAGTTGAGTCATTCGGAGCAATGGTTAAAAATACAGCACTGAACAGGGAGGGTCCCTGATTTCCTCAGAAAAACATGGTAGAAAGATTTTGCTAGCTATGCAGGATCCCACAGAAACCTCCCTCAATTGTCTGGCTCAGTCATCCTTTGGTCCAAGGGAGTTGGAGCAAGCTAGTTCTTACATTTGCTAGCAAGAGACAAAGACGGAGCCCTAAGAGGCCATGATCTCCCTCCACCACATGCAAGAAAGGAGAAATGATGCTCCAGATCAGCATGACGGCAAAGAGGAACGGAAGTGTCCTTTACTACACTGCTGCTCAGCATGGTGGTCCCTGAACCAGTGCCAGTATATGAACCATCAGCTGCCAGCCCATGGAGTTTCCAGGAAAGAAAGAAACAACTGGATGTAGCCAATGGACACCCCTATGGTACCAGTGTGGTGTAGTGGTTTGAGCACTGGACTATGATTCTGGAGATCAGGGCTCAAATTCCCCACTCAGTCATGGAAACCCATGGTGACCTTAGGCGGATTACACACATTCAGACCAAGAAAACTGTGCGATTGTCAGAAATGACTTGACGGCGCACAAGAACACAAAGGTACCAGTGTTAGGGGGAAAATATTTAGGGGGGTTGCAGACTGCCAGAAATAGTGCAAATTGAGTCCACTTTTAGGGTTAGGGAATCATGGGAACTGTATTTTATTGTGGCACCAGAGCTCTCTGACAGAGAAGGCTCAATGTCTCAGAAAAAAACCAATTCCCATGATTCCCTAGCACTAACCCTAACCCTAAAAGTGGACTCAATTTGCACTATTTCTGGCAGTCTGCAACCCCCCTTAGTCACGTTGCCCGTTTCCTTTTCTTGGGATGCCTAAATTATATTTCTAAGTCCTCAACTGATGTTTTAAATTACTGAATTGCTAGAAATTTGGGG